AGGAATGCTGAAGGACAGGAGGGAAAAAGGCCTTGGGAAGGTGTGTCCCCCTCTATGCCCCTCAGAGGTCACTTTCTTTTAGCCCTAAGTGTATTCATTTTACAGAATTTTCCATTTTTATTCCTACCTCTCAATCAGGTATCACTTTACTTCTTAATGAATCACTCAGTAAGGTCATTTAAAAAGTTGTATGGAACTAGCAGAATATTTTCATTAACTTTGAGAAGCAATTTCCAACTGTGCTGTGTTCGACAATGGGGCATATTTTCTCCCCTAAGTTAACTCCGACTGGAAAGAAGCTGATTTTTATCAAAAGGTTTTTGCTTTTACGAAGAATCAATTAAAGAGCCGCGTTTTTTTTTTTTTAAAGATAGACTGAGATTTATAAACCCTATTAATTAGCTACAAAAGCAGATTATCTCCTAAAAGAAAACTGCAGTTTCCAAGGTGATTTAATCATCACATCTAATTGGAAAGTAAAGTAAATCACTATTTCTTAGGACCTAAAGTATAATCAGGAAAAATTAACCCATGTAATGGGGTGTTGTCATCTTTGAACTTGTAATTTTGGTTAATATCCAAGGAAGCAGCTTTTTTTGAGTACACCTTGAAAAAGACTGCTGTAAAACTCTAGGCAACTTGACACATTTTTTTCTATTCTTTCCTTTGCCATGATGTAGGTTGTAGGGTAAGATCAGCTTGTTTGATTTTTATTTGGTGATGGTTCTTTGAGGCATTGCTACCTAATTATAAAAAAGTATTGTACATTCTTCCATAATCTGTAAGAGTTTGGAAACTTTCTAGAAGAAAATCCAAGTATTTTTTTTTGTGGAGCAATCGCATATGTATGTTTTTTCTTTTAGGTTCAAGAATTGACCAAGGAATGGACAAATAAGTGGAATGAAACCCAAAATATTTTGAAAGTAAGGACTATAAAAAAGTGTCATGATCTTACTGTGCTGGCTTAAGTAGGTAAAACTTCTTTTCTTTCTCCCTCAAAAATGGCGATTGTGTGCTTTGCTTTAAGGTAAGATCAGTGGAATTGATTAGTGACTTTTGGGAGGTCGGGACTCTGGTTTGATTTTGAAGAAATGGGAAAGCGAGCTATTAGTCATTAAAAGCTGTGTGTTTAGGGATAATGCTGATACTTAAGGTATTTGCTCTCACTTGTGGAGTTTTTCCGTTTTTGAGTCAGCACATATTAAATTCCATTTAATATTCAAGGGCACCCACTTTGCCTTTCTGCTTTTGTTAAACCCAGTATAAAAGCAATATGTTAAATAAAAAAAATACTTCTCATGGCAGTACTGTGGAATATGTGTGCATAGCATGGCTAGACTTCAGAAATTTCTCAACTAGTAATTTCCTATTGGAATTTTTTTCTGTATGTCTCAAAGGCTAGGCAGTGATGGTCTGCATTTTTGGCAAGATTCATGGTGAAAAGATGTCAGTAATGGCCTCCGAGTTTCATACTCTGTGCTTCAACATACATGTTTCTTTGTGGTCCCATTTTTTGCTGAGGTGGTAGGAAACTCGTGTCATCCGTGGAGGGTCAGCCACGTTAGGTTTGAGGTTCAGACTGGAATTTTATGCTTTGATCGCGTCTGTCTGTCCTTACACATGAGAGAAGGCGATTCAGAGGCGATTGCTGAATCCTGGGTTTGTTTTTGAGGTCTAGTGAGGTAAAACTTTCCCAAAGGACGGAATCTCCCTTGAATATTGGCGAGGCTGGATAGGTGAGGTTTAGCTATGTGTCTTGGCAGAAGCCTGACTTGGACGCTGTTCACGTGAAGAGGGGGCACCTGGTGACCGTTTCACGGGGGAAAACTTTTGAAGACCTGGAGTAGCCATTGAGTTATTCTCTCTGAGAGTGGGGTCAGCGTTATATTATGTAAAGTTTCCTTGTACCATTTAGGCAAGCTGGCCTGCTCTGGGGGCTAAAAAGCTTACTTCTCATGAGTGGGGTTGAGCTGCAGGCCTCGGTGGCCATGGGTCACGATTGGTCCTGGAGATATTCTTTCCAGTTGCAGAAAGTCCTGCAGTAAGTGAGGCTTCTGCGTCCAGCCTTTTCTTTCCTCCTGATGATGATGATTATGTTGTGTTATTTTGAGGTACTTTCTCAGCGTTTGTTTTTTTGAGAGGTTTTCGCGCAGGAAACTGAGCAAAGACTTCAGTTGCATTTCTGAAGAGTCAGGTGGGGAATAAGCACCAGCAAAGGTGTGACTGTTTTCATTGTTTATGTTGCATCAACTTGGAGAATGAGTGCTGCAGCCCCAGACTTACGTAGCCCAGCCGTTGGACCGTTCCTGGCACCATGTATACTTTCCTCAGCAAATTTGCCAGAAGGGGAGGACTGAAATCTGCTGCACGTAAGGAAAAGAGAAATCAAGTAGCTAGCTGTTTGAAAAGCCATTAGTACCCATAGTGCCTTTTAGCACAGAAGGCAATGCCGCAGTGAATGCAGATTGCAGCCCATCTCTTCTGCCTGGTCTCTCCTCGTCACCGTGGTAGGGGTTTTACAACAGCCTTGCAGAGCTGTCCACACTGAGTCACCCTGGTGAACCCCTGAGCTTTTTCTCATAATGTTATTCCGGGCCTGGAAACTAAATCCTCCTTCAGTTTCCAATTCTGTTTTTTCATAAATCTTACTATTTTTATTTTTTATAACTTCTGAGATGAGAATAGGAAGGTGTTATGTGCTAGGTGTTAAAGGTTATGGGAAAGGCTAATGATATTTCAGATTTTTCCCTTCGTTTGATCTGGCAAGCCCTTTGTAGATTTCTTTGCCGGTATCTGTGTTTTAAATCTGTACGTGTTTTCTGCTCACATTTGGTATTTCAAGAGCTGTCTTCATCACCTATTGGAAGATGGTGCCTGAGGCCTGCGGGGAAGAAGAGGGCTACTCAAATGTTTTTGAAAACATTCTTTGGAAATCGATGGGGAAAGGGATTGTTTTTCGATGAGTTTGTATCTGTGTGGTTTGTGTGATTCCCGTATCTTTGCTGTCTGACTTCTCCTTCATCAGCTCTTGTTCCAGTAATGCTGCATAGAACCCACTCCAGCCCAGCGGCTTCGGACAACATTTATTTTCCCTCTCTCACATGCACGTTGGCTGGGGGTCGGCTGGTCTGGTCTGGCTGGGCTTGGATCCCGGCTACGGGCAGCTTCCAGGTCTGTCTCTCATTCTGTTGGACTGGGTGGTTGTCCAGAACATGACTTACGGTCACGGCCCAGGTAGAAGCAGGTGGGCCTGGTCTTGCAAGCACATTTCAAGCTTCTGCTTGTATCATGGCCAAAGCAAGTCACTTGGCTGAACAGAAAGTCACAGGGGAAGACGTGTATTTCACCCGTGAAAGGGCCGCAGCCAGGGTGTAAATGTATAATCCTGCTTTGAGATCAGTGGTTTAATCGACACAGGCCCCTGTTAAAATACAGAGCTTTACATTCTGGGAACTTGCCCTCCTACTGCATTTGCCCATGTTGTAGAGACAGGCTCAGTGAAGCGGTGAACTCCCAGGTTTATCTTCATCATCAGGGCTTGGTCGTTTACTCTGCAACTATATCATCCCTTCCAAGCCCCAAGTCCTGAACATCCAAGGAGAGACCTCTGGGGGGAAGACTGAGAGTGAGACCGTCCAGGGGACAGAGGGGAGATACAGGGATACTTCGGTGCCTGTTGGCACAGTGAGAGCCTGCCTTGTTGCTTTTTCTTGCCCAAGCTGTTAGAGGCTCAGAAACCAAGGAGTGACTTTGTTCCCTTGTTTGTGATCTGGTCTGTGGCTTTCCTTGCTGGGGATGAGTGAAGGCCTAGGCGTGTTGAGTGGGGTGAAGAAGGGGTGAAAGGTGCTCGGACAAGGGGTGCCGTGTGGGGGCTTCCCTGGTGGCGCAGTGGTTGAGAGTCCGCCTGCTGATGCAGGGGACACGGGTTCGCGCCCCGGTGAAGATCCCACATGCTGCGGAGCGGCTGGGCCCGTGAGCCATGGCCGCTGAGCCTGTGCGTCCAGAGCCTGTGCTCCGCAACGGGAGAGGCCACAACAGTGAGGGGCCCGCGTACCGCAAAAAAAAAAAAAAAGAGGTGCCGGCTGTTTGCAGCCGGGCTGGTGGCGCCGTGGTGATAACGCACGTGCCTCGGGCTTTGATCTGCCAGTTCTGTCTCAGGCTTCAGGTCTCTTTCTGAGTCACTGGTGGGTTGTGACACTTACCCACAGTGTCACACATCCTTGTCACCAGCTTGGAAGTCGGGCGGATGGCAACCTGTTCGTTATACCCAGGTCACAAGAGGTGATAAATTGCTTGGGGTTACGATATAAGTAGCTAATGACAGTGGAAAGTGTGTTGATCTTGAGGAGACCTTTCTTAGGCAGGTAGGTAATGTGGGCTCTATTATCCTGTACAGTCTACGCTGTGTACGCAGTCTCTTGCCCCTTAATCTACCTTCCTCATTGTCATTAATCTCCTTTTCTATAAATTAAAGTTCAGACTCCCTTGCCTGGCCCCCAGGGGCACTGAGCTCCTTCTTGGCTCCGCATGTCCCATCACAGCTCTGTCTGCCCCGCACTCCCGGGCCCCCGGCCCTCCCGGCCAGGTGTCTCGCTGGTCCCTGTGCGCACTGGGTGTTGGGTTTCTGGGGGTCTCTTGGCCTTTGCCTATGTTGCTCCATCATTTGAGATGCTCCCCTCTCTACGCCTGTGGGATTCCACCCTGAAGCTCTCTCTGGTCACTCTTCTCTCCCACTTACCGGATAGAATGATTTTGTTTTCCTCTGGCTTTTGTAAAGGCATTTCGTTCTGCCTTTGTCACAGCATTCATCATAATCGGAATTTGGTGGTCTTAGTTTCTCCCTCTAAACAGGAGCAGAATCTGGGCAGGGACTGTCTCTTGATCATTCTGTGAACCAGCTCCTAGAACTCCGCTTCTCACAGAGCAGGCATACAGTGAAAACTTACTGGATTAAAGTAGTAACAAGAAACAAAACCCCAAACCTTTATATTAGTTTGCTAGTGCTGTCATAACAAAACATCACAGACTGGGTGGCTTAAACAGCAGACATTTATTTGCTCACAGTCCTGGAGGCTAGAAGTCAAAGATCAAGGTGTCGGTAGGGTTGGTTTGTCCTGAAGCCTCCCTCTCTCCTTGGCTAGTGGATGCTGCCTGCTCTCTGGGCCCTCACGTGGCCTTTTCTCTGTGTGCCTGTAGCCCTGGTCGCCCTCTGTGTCCTAATCTCCGCTTCTTATAAGGACATTAGGCACATTGGATTAGGGCTCAGCCTAATGGCTTCTTTTTAACATAATTACCTCTTTAAAGGCTGTATCTCCAAATGTAGTCACATGGGCTTCAACATATGAACTTTAGGGGGACACGTTTCAGCCCATAACAACCTTGAACTGCGCAAACCTGGTGACCCGGTGGGAAAAGTAACACGGGGTGTTGTGCAGGCAGCGGTCTTGCCCTGGTGATGCTCCTGCCTGTACATTCTGTCCTATTTGTCTCACTCCTATTTGAAAGGCTCGTATATGACTATGTATTTTTCATTCTTGGAAGGAATGTGGCTGCATTCCTTTTGATTATAGTCCAGTCCTTCATTTGGGTCAATTAGACCTTTGCTGCTCAGTGTGTGGTTCCTGCACCAGCAGCGTCAGCATCACCTGTGAGCTGGTTAGAATTGCAAGTTCTCAGGCCCCACTGCAAACTTCCTAAGTCAGAATCTGTATTTTAATAAGATGCCCAGGTGATGGGTCTGCACCTTATGGTTTGAGTGCAGGACCTGAAAAGCTGAGGAAGGAAAGGTGGGGCCGTCTTGGGCTCCTTTGCCCTCATTTCCGTTTTCCCCCTTTTGCTCTGCCCTGTCTGGTGGAGAGCTGACTGGGTGGTCTGCCCTTCCCTGAGTGGGACTCACTGTGTGAGGGTTGGAGGGAGAAACCAG